TTGAATATCTCGGATTATTTTCCTTGCATTAATAAGTCTCGGTACGGCTGTCCTCCAAGGGATGATCCCTGATTTTTCCCTATTAATCATAATTAAAGGGGTAGGTCATATTAGAGGAAGGCTTATCATTCCCGGATTATTTCCCTCGCGTTATCAAATTTTGCTACAGTTGTCTACGTGTCAGTAGGTTGAATTTCACCCCTCGGTTAAACCGTCCTCCAAGGGATGATCCCAAACCGGCGCCCACATAAACATGGCCTATCTCCCTCCATCACGTCGTTTCCCTTAATCCGGCGGAACACCTCCATCCTTGCATCAGATCGAGCCGCCATCATAAGTCACCGATGTTTCCCGCAGTAAGTACCTAATTATCCCTGTCGGATCCCACTCCCCCAAGGGAACCAATTCCAGCGGTACAATAAACATCCCTCACTTGCTCGCCATTTCCCTCCGGCTCGGAGGAGCTTCCGGTCGCCCTTTTTTTCCTTGGCAATGTCCGAGATGGCTGCAAAGCTTCTTCTCCGAGATTGGTGCCCCTTATCTCGTCGTATCTGGATTGCGCGTCGGGGACGCATCGCCGCCATCTTGGAGAACGTTTTGCGTCGAGGACTCCAGAAATTCCCTCTCTGCTGTCCTCTCCACGTCAGAATATTGGTCGATTTATTAATGCCGGCACCCGTTGTTGCGTTTTTAGCTAAAAAATGTTTAGAAGCAAGATATTGGCTTTCCATTATTTGACTTGGCACTCGTTATTACGTTCCATATCTCCATTCCACCTCAGCGTCCTTCGCCGCCATCTTGGAGAACGTTTTGCGTCGAGGACTCCCGAAATTCCCTCTCTGCTGACCGAACTCATCCGTTTTGGGATCAATCTATGATTTGTGGCTAGTACAGACGTTTCGAGATAGAATCCTCATACTGTGAATCTTGTTCAGACTTTCGTGAAGTTACCATTAAAATTGTTTTTTCCTTCATTAAAAATTTCTGCGACCTTTTCCATTTTGGAAGCCAAGATGGTGAAATCTATCTAGCGTTCACTTATATTCGGGATTTCCATTGGCACTTCTAAAAAAAATTCCCAACACCAAGACGTTGGTTCACCACTTGTTCATCTTGTTCTCCAAGATGGCGAATCCCATTTAGTGTGCAATTAGGCTCGCAGTTTTTTTTATAAAATCCTCCACGTCAGAATATTGGTCGATTTATTAATGCCGGCACCCGTTGTTGCGTTTTTAGCTAAACAATTTTTAAGCGCAAGATATTGGCTTTCCATTTTTTGACTTGGCACTCGTTATTACGTTCTATGGCTCCATTCCACCTCGGCGTCCTTCGCCGCCATCTTGGAGAACATTCTGCACGAGTTAGAGGGTCAATCGGATCGGTTGGGTGACCGGTGGTCACCGTAGGTCACATTCGTTGACCATCAACGATAGGTAATCCGATGACCGGATATCCCACCCCCTACATTAGGGCGAAATTAGGTCCCGCGGTTGGCAATGACGCTCCGGGCGAAAACCCCCAGCACCCTGAAGGCATTGTGGGTTCTCGGATCTCGGGGCTAATTTATTCACGCCAGATCGACCAGAGATGGGTCGTATGTACACGGGTACACGGTTACATGGCCCCGTGTTTGCGCCATGCAGACGTACGTACCGAAACCGCCTTACCCGCCAGACGCACCGAACCCTGAACCTAACCTAACCCCGGCTGAATATTAATTTCACCGAGGGAACTGGAAGGCGAATCTCTTTACACAGTCCCGGAAAAAATGGACCCGCCAGGACGAGCGGTCGACCCATTTCCCGTGGAAATATCCTGGAGGTAAATTCACGCTCTATCGGCCGAAGATGGATCCTGGGCTCACACACACGTACCAGTGAATATGTGTTCCCTATACATATGCACGCACGCGGTTTCCGGAAGGAGAAACCGGAAGCGGTGAACCGGACAAACCGTGGTTCCCTTTTTATCCTTTCACGCCTGGGGCGCCATCTTGGGGAAAAAAAAAGCCCGCCCGATTAGTCAGGGATCCTTTATGGGGGTTTCAGGGGGTTCTTTTTATTACATCTTCTCAGCCCCTAATTTTTATCCGGGAGAGTATGGGAGCTGACAGAAAAATTATTCACAGTAATAATCAATTTTATTTGCCTCAGAAAATGCAAAAACTCGAAAATTTCTATACAGAGATATTTCTGCTGTATAGGCAATTAGAGTTTATCGGTAGTTATGTCTTTGACACAGAAATTATACTCATAATTACAATATTAATTCCTAGCAATAACAAATTATACGTCGTTAATACTAATTTAGCAAGAACTTTTTCTAAAAATGCTCTCCTATGGTTACATCCACGTTTGATACAATTGTTAGTCATTTTGCTGTTGGTACAATAATTGCTGCAGTCAAACTTGATCAAAAGTACCGCTCTTTGCCTAAGAATGGAAATGTCTTTTTTCCGTGTACATAGAGAAGGACCTTTCCTTATTATCTTAAGGCGGCCGCATAAGTCATAATCGGAGCGTAATTCAAGTACGATGTCTATGTACAGGGTGGTTCATGACCCTTGAAGCGAGTAATCCCTTCGCTCGGAGAGCAATCAGCTAACGAGGGCACCAGTTGGCCAGCTCTCAGTTGGATCAATAATGTAAGCTCAGCTTATTTGTCTTGTTTTTCGGCCTGGACACAGAAAGAGCTTACTAATTCATCCAACGACTGGCATCGCTTAGCCCATTAAGTATGCGAATACTTGATGCTCCAACGGCCCCGTAAAGTTGAGTAATATCGGCCCAGTTTTCTTCATCTTATGCTCCGGAAGTAACGCAAGCGTAATTACACCCCGAGGACCCGAATAAATTATACATTAGAGATGGTGCCGTTGTAAAGTTACGTAAAACAACCAGTTGAATTATTCGCCGACCTGAGAGGTCCACTATATCCTTCCTCTTCAAGGATGCGCATTTTGGATGCTCCACCGCAGTGTCGTTTCAAAATCTTTGAAAAATTTCTTGAAACCCTCCTTTCCAAGTTAACCCTTCGTTATTATTTTTAAACAATTGTACATTGCTTTTAACCGAGGAAATTGGAGCTTTTCGTTTTATCAAGGATGGTCTGGAATTGTGACAAATCGTGAGTGGGACATTTCGCATTTAAACAATTTACATTACCTTTAACCAAGGAAATTGGAGTTCTTCTTTTTATCAAGGATGGTCTGGAATTGTGACAAATTGTGAGTGGGATATTTTGCTGGGATTTCTAATCAGTAAGTAGAAAAAAGCGTGGCTTAAGTCAGGCGAGGTAGAGCCGTGAAAGCGTTTAAGTGGACTAACCGGTGTTATTTTTAAACAATTGTACATTGCCTTTAACTGAGGAAATTGGAGTTTTTATTTTTATCAAGGGTGGTCCGGAATTGTGACAAATTGCGAGTAGGACATTTTGCTGGGTTTTCTGACCAGTAAGTAGAAAAAAGCGTGGCTTAAGTCAGGCGAGGTAGAACCATGAAAGTGTTTAAGTGCCCTAACCGGTATTATTTTTAAACAATTGTACATTGCCTTTAACCAAGGAAATTGCAGTTTTTATTTTTATCAAGGATGGTCCGGAATTGTGACAAATTGCGAGTAGGACATTTTGCTGGGTTTTCTGACTAGTAATTAGAAAAAAGCGTGGCTTAAGTCAGGCGAGGTAGAGCCGTGAAAGCGTTTAAGTGCCCTAACCGGTATTATTTTTAAACAATTGTACATTACCTTTAACCAAGGAAATTGGAGTTTTTCTTTTTATCAAGGATGGTCCGGAATTGTGACAAATTGCGAGTAGGACATTTTGCTGGGTTTTCTGACTAGTAATTAGAAAAAAGCGTGGCTTAAGTCAGGCGAGGTAGAGCCGTGAAAGCGTTTAAGTGGACTAACCGGTGAATAGGTGGAAAAAGTGCGGCTTAGGTCAGCCGAGGTTCGCGATTTAACTGGATGTCGCGAGATAGCGATAATGATGCCATCGCGTGTAAAGGAATCAAGGTGCACCTTTTTCATGGCCAGGTGGAGTCGCCTTATAAGATTAACGCGTTTAAGTGGAACAACCAGCTGAGTAGTCAGCCGCGCAAGAGTCGCATTCTAGCTGCACATTGCTAAATAATATCAACGCTATCATTATCTGTTTAAAAATCAGACCTCCACCATTTTCATGACCAATCCAGGTGGGTATAAAAAAATTCAAGTAGAACGATCCGTCAAAGAGTCGGCCGCGGAGTGTAAAAAACCGTGGCTTAGGCCAGCCGAGCGTCGCGCTTTCATCGAAAATCTGCCATCTAAAAACCAAGGATAAAAACTTTTCGGTCCCTCGCCCCTGTCCCGGAAATACGAAATTTTCACCCTGGGTAATTTCGCGCCCCATATACATGGAAACGAAGAATTCCGGCCACAAAGGGACTCGTTCGCGGGGAGGGATGACGTCGACTCTTTGGCTCCCTCTCTGCCGATCCTGTGCGAAGGTGCACATCCTCCGCGAACGAGCGAATGTGCAGATATACATATACATATATATGAACGTATATACACATATATATACCCGGTACATATCGTTTTGTAGAGTAAACGTCGACGGCCCTCGACTGCGGAACGATCTCCATTTAGAGTGGCGCTCTTACTCGCACTCGGTCGAAGTAGAGGGCGAGTCAGTAAAGGGTGTTAAGGTGGAGGGGCAAGAAGGGAGTACCGGTCTCCTCCCGTGTATATTAACTGCAGATGCACACGTCGGGGTGCACTCTGCTTCCCGGCCCCTCGATCGGACCATTTCGGAAATTACATCGGTCCCGTATATCGATCGCCGTTTTGAAATTTCGACCTTTCATCCCCTTACTCCAAAATTGCGATATTCAAATTTATCTACCCTTTGTATCTATAAATTAATTTATGGGGTGAAATATTGCCGGGATCCTATTTGATGACTCGACCTTGGTTTTTGGCAGGGTAATGACGAGTGGGGTAGGTCCAGGTCGGATGAGTACTCACCTTGCCGAAATTGGAGAGGCCGCCGATGTGAGGCACTTGACCAGGCTCGTCCGCCGTGCTGCAGTCTGCCCTACCGAACCAACACGTCAGTAACTCAATAGTGACAATCGTGTGCGTTATTGCGTTTGCATGGGCATGGAGAGGCCGACCCCCATGGGCAGCGGTAATGGGAATCGGCCGATCGTGCGGAACGCGGCCCTGCTGCGGCGCGGACGCGTTATTTGTGCGACCGCGCGAATCAAATCACGCGGATACGCGCTCCTCCAGATTTACAAGGGAGATTTATGCGCGACCGCGGGTTCGCCGGTGCTTATGGGATCCCAGGAGGTCAGGGGGAAGAGCTGGTTTTATGGGGAGGGACACCCCGCGAATCCGAGATACCGAGGGGTACTTCTTTTAACGAGGGGGGTTTCGGGAGTTTCAGGAGTTCCTCAGCACTAGATAGAGAGATCTTCATGATTCCAATGGTTTTAATGATTCTTTTTTACGTTGGTGACGTGAAAATATGGGTTTTATGGTGGATGATAACCCGCGAATCCGAGATACCGAGGGGTACTTCTTTTAACGAGGGGGATTTCGGGAGTTTCAGGAGTTCCTCGGTACTAGATAGAGGAATCTTCATGATTCCAATGGTTTTAATGATTCTTTTTTTACGTTGGTGACGTGAAAATATGGATTTATGGTGGATGATAACCCGCGAATCCGAGATACCGAGGGGTACTTCTTTTAACGAGGGGGATTTGGAGAGTTTCAGGAGTTCCTCAATACTAGATAGAGGAATCTTCATGATTCCAATGGTTTTAATGATTCTTTTTTATGTTGGTGATGTGAAAATATGGGTTTTATGGTGGATGATAACCCGCGAATCCGGGATAGCGGGGGGTATCTCAATTCTGGACGGAGGATTTTTCATGATTTTCACCATATAATGACCTCGACTCTGATGACTTCAAGATTTTCACGATTTTAATCACCTGGAAAGGCGGATTTCATGACGAGGGTCTCCTCGCGAATCCAGGATAGTGGTCCTACGTATAACCATGATGATGTTAATAAAGATGCTCAATGAATTTAATGACTTTGATGATTCTGATGAATTCCACGATTTTAACAATTTGGCCGTACCACGAAAATCCTGTATCACCAAGACAGGTGCATGAGTTCGGGAAAACCTTAAACCACCACATTGAAGCTAAGACTGGAAGAGACCGAATACTTGAAATTCCTGGGATTTCGCGAATATTTCACCGGCGGAATTCGCCCGAGTCGACGGGTGCCAGGAGCAGAAACGTCCTGCGGAAAGACGGATCCGCTCTCAGGAACAACCCTTCGGGTCGAAGGGCCGGGGGAATTGCATCTATTAATGTGATCGAGAGCCTCGGATTTCTAAGGACCCCATCCCAGAGGGGCACTTCAAGAAGTTCCCGCACCCTCTCCAAGGACTAACCTGCGTTTCCCTGAAAACGAAGATCCGCTGATCAGCGATAATGAGAACGACTCGAGGTTACCTCGCGATATAAAAAGTCGATCAACCAGGGTGGGAGGGGTTGAATTGCGCTTCGAGTGCCTGGAATTCACCAATTCCTGGCAATTGCCGAATCGTTGAATGCTTCAATGCGGAGTGCACGTAATCGGAATCTCGTCACGCGGATGCGCTCCGGGGACAAAGACTGTCACTTGAAAAGACGGACTCCCTTCTGGGGGTAATTTCTTGTATCGAATCGACGGAGTGACGCTTAAGTGATCGAGGGTTTCGTAACTGCGAGTGCGGTAACCTCGTTCCATCGATAACGCATTGCAATTGGCGATGATGGACGAGGGAGTGAATTTCAAATTCAAAGACCGGGAACTGGGATGTGTCTTCAAAAAATGGACACTCATAGGTATTACGTGCTGACTGGTATACGTGGGAAAGTAACAACCCTTGTGAATGATGGTTATAGCATCATCGAATGCTGGTCTTGATTAGTCATTAAAGCGAATTGATCGCGCAATTTAGTCGTAGTTGTTCGACAAAACATCTCGTCTAAGCACCTCGTGGAGAGGGTTGAGGTATTAGGTTGTCCAGAGGGTTGTTGTGGCGTTTGTTGTCTAAGACTTGACGGGTTGGGGTCAAATAATATAGTTTTTCCTTTATATCCATGTTATGTCCATTTTATGTACCACAAAGTTTGCATTTTGAAATGATGTATGACATGGTAAATGGAAGAAGAACATGATTTGAAAACCAAGCGCCGAGTCTTAAACTCTAAAAACCGCAATACTTATCTGGGTAGCCTAGGACCTATAAATAGGCGGCGCGTCGCCCGCTCGCTGCCAGTCGGCGTCGAGCCTCCGCGGGGAGCGGATCGGAGGCGCGGAGCAGAGGTAAGTCTTGTACCCGCGGTCGTGGAGCACTCACCAAGGTGTGTTACAGGTGTGCGTCAGGGTGAGGTACCTCGCGCCGAGCTCGTACAGCATCCTCAGGACTGCCAGACTCGCCCCCACGGCGTGTCCGCCCTCCACCCCTATCAGACTGGCCAATCGACCCTCTTTGTGCGCCCTCTCGATTCCTGTAAATTCACCCCGTGAATAAAAACCTTTTCTACACTTTGCGGATGTTTTTATTTTCCGATATCATTTTAGGGCATTTTAATGAAACTCCTATAATTTATTGTGTAAAGGTTGCACTTTGCTTTCGGATCGTGCAAGTGTATTTCGTGGCGGGAATTTCGTGGAAAACGGAAACTACCACTAAGGCACGGAGTAACAATACGTTGAATCGGCGAAACGGTCCCCGAATAAGGGGGCGAAGAAATCGACGGGGTGAGAACGGCTGCCCAAGAGAAGTCGTTAGTCATATGGAGCGACGGACGTAGCGTACGTGCCCCCGTGTTTTCCACGTCGGAAATCACACGGGGTCGGTAACGAGCGGCGTCGCTGAAAAGGACCTCAAAAAGGACCTCGAAGAGAAATCCGAAGAGGGGCTCGAAAAGCGACACAATGTACAGTGCACGGTTCGGCTTTGCCGCTTCGTCCTCACTCTCTCGTGAAATTTCTATTCTTTGGTCGGAAAACGATCCCGACAGCATGAAATATCGCGAAGGGGTGCAAGAAAGAAAAACATAAAACTAGGAAGAAAGAAACGCATGAAAGTGTAATAAAAAAAATTAGCTTATCAAGTTTTTATCGAAAATCTGAAGAGTGCACCGTGTAAATTCGTTTCTTACTTCAGATTCGGGAAAATGGTTCGCATCAGACCCTGAAGAGAAGCCAGCTCTCGAGGAGTCATTACTCACAGGTACGTGCCTCGTATTTTCCGCGCGAGAAATCACACGAGGCTCGGAAGCAGAGCACGTTATTGCTGAAAAGGAACTCGAGGAAGAACTCGAAAAGCAAGCCCGTCCGAAAGAAAAAAAGAAGGAGAAAGCGACGAAGGAAGCAAAAGCAACTCAATATCCTGCGGTTCAATTCACAGCTCCGCCGTTCCGTTCTTCCCCCTCGGGAGTTGCCACACTCGCTCCTGGAAGATGATTTCCAGAGGAAACACAGAGGAGACGGGGAAAAGGCGGGCGGGAAAAAAGATATGAGATGGCAGCGTCTCCTCCAAAAGATAGGAGGAAATACAAGAAACACGGGGGTCGACGATAAAAAGATGGAGAAAATCCTCGGGAAATGGAGGAACAGGGTCGCGAGGTAGCATCCCCGAAGCGGACCGGAAATGCGCACCCCGTTTACCGCACGCCCACTTTCCACCCACTTTCCCACCCACTTCCGCCTTTTCCGCACCCCACCAGATTTGCGTTTCACGGCTGGGACAATATTGTCGCGACAAAAGGGTGTCTCACGAAGATTTAGCACCGATTTGTATTTTGGGACCGCCATCTTGGAACCCCTCGCGTTTCTTCCCGAGAAAAATGGGTGGCACATCCCTTGACTGGTACACTGAGAAAAAATAGTACCCATTACCATTACAGTTGTAAAATTGGCGCCAGTCTCTACGAGTGGTATGACATATAACTACAGATGGAAAGAATAACCTTACAAATTGCATTCTTTCTTTCTGCAGCTGCATTCTATTTTTGCAGTTGTACATCATACCCTCGCAACTACATTTTTCTCAGTATACCTGTTTTTATTATTTTATTTTCTACAGTCCTAGCGTTTTGGAACTGTTATTTTCCTCAGACTTTTCTTCCTACTGTTTTTATATGAATTACAAATAACGGAGTGACCTCTAGGGTAATATGGCGGGGGATGAAACAATTATAAAATAACGCAGACACGTCCCTGATGAGGGAATTCCATCTGCCTCCCTTGGAATTTAATTTCAGGGTGGATTTCCGCTCTTTTCGCCAGCCGGATAGTCCAGATGCGCGGAATTCCTGTTTACTAACCAACTAAGCGCATGTTTCTGTAAATGAGAGGGATATTACATTTTTTTCTTTACACCAATTATTACGTGTATTTCTGCATTTAATTGCCGGAATTCTTCCTCGGGATGGCGACCACCCCTAAACGCGATTCATTCCGCTTTGATTTCAGCTCCGTGAATCCATCGTTAAACGCGATTGCTCGAGTTCGAGGGAGAAATAACAAAAAACAAGAAGATACCGCCGATAAATCCGACTTTCGCGGGTCATATTCTTTTTACATGCCATGTACCGGGTTGTGTCGGACCTCAATGGATTTCCCGGAGTGAATATTTTATACCGACACTGATAGCCATTTCGATATCCACAAACCCCAAGAAATTCATGAAAACGGAAACCTGAAATTCCCCAATTTCCCCATAAACCACCCCCCCTCCCAACAATCTCCCAGAACTGAAAAATAATCCTATAATCATCGAAGACTGCTTTCAAAATGATAAAAAAAAAAAGAAACCTGAACATACAATAATTTTCAATTGAATTCTATATTCACCGAAAAATCTTCTGAATGTTTTATCGGCATTTTCTTATCATTTTCTCCGAGAAACTGAAAAGGATAACTGTGCCCATAATTATGAAAGTGGTCTAAGTCAAAATTAAAAAAAAATGAGTTTATCAGTTATTTCACGCCATATTATTTCAAACGAAATTAATTCAATGTAATTTCGAAACAAAAAATATATGACTTAGACCACTTTCATAATTATGGGCACA